AGCACCCTTTGTCGAGCCAGTTCTTCTTCTCTTTTTTCTCGCTTGCGTTCCTCAACAAGAGCTCTAAAACAAAAAGAATTACTCAAAAATGTTAGTAAAAAAGGAATGACAGAGGAGAAACGTCGTCTATTCCCTTTGTCACGACAGCGCTCTAATACAATCGAATAAAACAATTTCGTAAGTTTTAAGTCAGGATTAATTCTATCTAAGCCGGCAAGAGAATGCTGTCACTACAACATGACAGCAGTAGTGAGCCGTATCACTATTCCGAAAAAAATCAGGTGCTTTTCAACAAATCAGTTTTTGTAAGAAGAGGTCACTGCGTACCAGTTACAGTTTGAATAGAGGCATATCACTCCTATTGCTACACGCCTCTAACGGCAACAGGCCTGCGTAGTACAGTCACGATAACACGGGCGCAGCTTCTTACTCAGAAATCATGAATTTAAGCCCGTGTAGTGGTGTAACTGCGCTGCGCGGAACTGTCTTGTTAGACGCATCGTACTATGATGAGATACAAGACCGTCTATATACAAAGCAATATTTCTACTGTAATCTCAAGAGATGTTGAATTTCGTTTGCGTCTCATAAGAAACGCACTTTGCTCCTGATTCTCTATAGAATTGGATGCCCAAAAATCACAGTAGCAGGTGCACATGTCGCTAGAGGTGATAATCAACCAGTTAAGATAGAAAAACAAAAGAAAATTAGCTTACTTCAATTCCATTTCCTTTTGCTTCTCCTTCGTTTCCAACATCTTCTTTCCCTCTTCACGACGTCTTCGTTCCTTCTCAATCTAGAATGATAGACTGAGTAAAATGCAGTATACATTGGCTGCCGTACCTGTTCCCTTTTTTCCTCCTCCTCCTTCCTAGCGCGAGCAGCTCTGATTTTATCGCGCAATTCCCGCTCTTTCTGGGCACGCTCCTCTGGAGTGAGCGGAGCGATCACCTACATATTCGTAGTCTTTCGAGTCCAGCCAAAAACTCTTTACCTGGGTGCTTTCCGAAAAATTCTCATGTCCTGATTTGGCAGCATGGAACATCATCGAATTTTCATCACGAAACAACTTGTTGCAACTGCATAAACGAGAGAATTGAGAAGCACAATAATGATAGATGAATATGAATCTATGAATAAATGAGTATGAACAGTCTCCTACTCGTTGCATTTGTAACTGCCGGGCGTATGCTCTGTCAGCTCGGATGAGCCCGGTTTTTCTTCTTC